GGGGGGGGGGGGGTCTTCGACCTGAAAAATCAGGGGTTAGGATTTGCACCTGGTCGAAAGAAACCTTGCTATCGCAAGAGTAACTCCAGCCAGCTTCGCCAGCTTTCGTGAAAAGGCTTCGACCGGAGACAGTAGATGTGAATAATTAGATAACGATATGCTCGTTCAGGACATGCCCCATCAATGACTGGTTTGTTCAAGTGTTCAAACAAATATGCCAGTGTCCATCCTTCACTTCTCCTTCTGAGCAACATCAAAGGCCAATCCTTCGATGGTGATCGCTGCATCCAGGGATTGCAACAATACGACTTCCAGGCACACAGCCTCAAGCCACTTCCGTGGCGCGTGAAACGCCGACAAAAACAACATCTGGGACAACCCTGAGCGATCCATGACCTCCCCTGCGGATGACTCACGCACAACACCTCTTGACCCGGACCATTCCAGGTGTTCCAAAGAACCAAACACATCGTAAAGTGGTTTCAGAGGTGAGAAGTGGCGCCCAAAGATGATGTCTTTGGTATGGAGGTCCATATAACCCACCGACATTGGGGATGGTGCCATCTACCCTGAGACCACTGTAAAAACCAAAGGAGTTCGCCGGAGGAGTCCCCTGACCACCTCCACACTATGGTCTTGTGGGGCAACACATTCCAGCAGAAATGGATTCCGATTTTGCGGCCTGAACTGGCCAGACCTAATACTGCAAACTTGTTTTGAGGTATAACGGTATAACAACCTATATTAAAAGCAACAGTTATTTTGACCACCTACCACCTGTTTTTTTCTGAGATACATCATTACGTCTCCATCTCCTAGCCCCAAATGTCAAATATATAATTGCAACACAATATTTCTAGAAAAATTGTTCAAAACGTCAGAGGCATGCCATAGTATACCTGAACGTGGCAGCCACGATGCCCACCATTCTGGAATCCGCAAGCAGCCTTTTGATCCATCCTCCAAGAAGCCCATTCCTGGTCGGTGTACAAGATGCCCAAAATCACGCCAATGAGATGGATGAAGTTCAAAGGAATGATGGCCCAAAAGCCAAGTCGAAGCCTTGGAGCCGCGAAACGAAGCGGGTCCAATCCGGGGGGGTGGGGTGGGAGATGTGTCACAGTAAGGAGCCAAGCGGGACGTGTTGCATAGACCTCCAGTCAAAGCAAAAGTATACACATTCCAAACAAGGTCTGCCAACTCAATGCCTTCCACAAGCCACAAATCGGGGAATACTATCGATACTATTGGCAGTGTATGCACTCAGTGCTTTCAAGGGAATGCTCGATTGCACAAAGGGCCGTCTTTGCAAATCTGCTAATCATCATCTCGCAGCTCGTTGACCACTACAATCTCACCCTTGTGGTGAACAATGAAACCAAGGGATCCAAAGAAAAACCAGTGGCTGCGTATCGGAATTAGACGCAATGAGGTCGACCACCTGGTTGAAGAAAACCACCTACTGCACCTAAATTCCAAAACATTTCCTTGCCTTTTGGAATTGTGAGGGCCCCTGTGTGGGCTGTCTCACCGCCGTGAGACCGAAAACCAATCAGATTCTCTTCAACACCAGTCAGACTTCCTAACACTGGCTTTCAACGGAACATCAATGACAACCAATTAATCTAAGTTCATTTTATCAACACTCAAGAGAGAGTATTCACTGTTTCCCTTAAAGTTCTTAAGGGGCCGCTTGCTCATGCGTGCTCTGTCTTGCCATTGCCAGTTCAACATTGAACATTACAAAAAAAGTCTAAGAGCAGTAGTAACAAAACATTTGATTGGGACAATCACTGAAGTAAATCAACTATATACCCCTGTGTGGCAGCAAGTAGCTTCAAATTGCAAGTCGAAAATGACAAGGAACTGCGGATGCTTTCCTACTATAGGATCTTTAAATATGGTTGACTTCTCTTGCCACAATGGAGCCTTTTTGAAGCAGGTGTCCATTGGAAGGTGCCGAGTCTAGCAAACCACCCTGCTACAAGTCGAAACTTGAGAGAGGAGGGCGTGAACGAAAGGTAGCAGGCAATCACAAGTAACCCTGGTAGAAGTCCAGGAGGCAAAATGCCACACTGCAAACCTTGAATCGTACACCGTGAAAAAAGAGTCGAGGTTGTATGGGAGAGACGAACTTCTGTGCTTGGATCAGCCAGGTCTTTGTGGCCACTTTGAAGCCTACATAGCTTAAAACCATCGATATTTACATGTGTTTGCAATTGTTCGACCATTTTTGAAGCCTAGACACCTCAAAAACCATCGGTGTTTACGAGTTTTTTTGCCGAACAGTCACAAAAAACATCAAAAAAACATGTAAATAGCGTGGTTTGAGGCCACTCTTGAAGACTGGAGGAGCTGAAGCCGCGCCAGGGTGGAGTTGAAAGGGGGGGGGGGCCACCCCCCGGCCACTAAAGTGAAATGTCGGCGATTCTCAGTGAGATAGGCCTCCACTCTGGTTATAATTCATTTTTGCTAAAGCAAAAGGAAAACTCAGGTAGCGTAACCGCTACCTTTCGTGAACAAAACACTCTCTCTGATGCATTCTTGGCTCTTTGTTGCTCTTCATTCTTCTAAACCAGGCCATGGCATCGGAAATCTCCAGCACCGCCCCATGCTCCCACAGCCTGCTGTGCCACGTCCAAGTCACTGTACCTGTTGCATGAAGATCCGTCCCATAAAGCCCAGGGATCCCCCCAGCCCGGCACGGGCGATGGGCCAACCCATGGCGCGGTAGTGCAATGTCAGCCCCGACCAGCAATATCCTCGCGAAGACAGAGCGTTCGCCGTCCGGACGTGAGTTTGGACCGGTGAGATCGGCGAAACGAAAGGGCGAAAGGAGACGGAACACACCAAATCCGTGCTGCACTCGCGGTTGCAGGCCTTTCTTCGGTTTGAAAAGGTGAAGAAAGGATTCAAAGCCCATGTCTGAAGTGAACATTCCGCGGACAATGGGATTGCCAGGATCTGGAGCACACTGGGAAAGCCACTATGCCAGAAGAACACCACACACTGGCATGCAATCACCACCCTCAAATGAAGGAATTCAATACATTCTGGGCTTTGAGCTTCAGCCAAATATGTAATGCATAGATCTCAAATATATAGGCAATAACAGGATGGATCATGATGGAAGGTCTGTGTCACCAGCATGCAGCATGGTCCAGATATGGAGCCTATCGCCAGCCAGCGCTGGACCTACGAAGCTCTCCACGACGCGTGGAGCATTCCCCACGTGCGATGCCACCAAGGCGCCGCTAATCATCCCATTCAAACAGGGCCTGATGAGGAGAAGGCAGCATGGCAGCATGTGGTGGAAATGCTGTGTGTGAGGTTCCCTGCGCTGAAAAGCACATCCGACCAACAAAACCAAAAATGAATATGCGAGAAACTGAGAAAGCACCAGCATGTGGTGGTTTCAGCGCTCTTCTATCAACGGTGCGGGGCCTCCTCTCAAAGGCTTGGGATGCCCCAGCTAACGGGGAAAACATCGCATAGAAAAACCATGAACCCCGACCTGAACCTCAAATCATCTCACAATTGTTAGCTGTTATCTCTTTTTGAGGCAGCAATCTGGGGTGACAAATGTGCAAACGTCTCTCAAACGTCTCTCAAACAACCCAATGAGCATGGACAGAAACATTCCTGGTGAACATCTGAAATTCTCAATGGTCTTCTCCATCACGACCAACCATGGATTAGCTGCCCAAAAACTTGTCTTTTTTGTGTCTCGTCCAAGATGCACCTTCACCTTCGCAGGACCCACACGACCTTCCCCAAGAATGTCAGTAATTAAGGCCTTCGGGCCTACAACTTGGAACCCATCGGATTCCAATTGCCCTACCCTATCCCATACACTCCATGTATGGAGCATATGTCTACATGGCATACTACATGGAGCGGAGGGCCCAATTACCATCTGAGAAGGTATGTGAATCCCTAGGGCTACGTTACATGCCAAACATAAATCTTGAAAATCACATGATGAATGATGAATGCCTCTGAAAATGCAGTTATGAGTATCATTTGCATAGTATCTGAACCCCCATGAACATGTCTGGAATATATACATCGATGATAGTTGGCGGAGTCCGGCTAGCCAAACATGAGCTAATCAAGTACACCAAACTGGGATGGCTGTTGTCGCAACATAGATATCAGTGGAGTTGACTCCTCAACAAATATCTGTAAATCGATCTTGTGGGCCTGGGCAGGATTTACACCCTGATCAACATCAAAAACCGGATCGCCACCGATCGTGCATGTGGCATGTCCGGGCCCCCGGAGGTTTCCGCAGATGTTCTTGGACGGATCGCCACCAGGTTGGACCACCGCAGGCAGCACAGGAAAAAAACAACACCTGCTTGGGAAAGGGATGCAGTCGACTTGGGACAGGGCGCCGCCCTTCCACGAGAAGGACATGTTCGAGGTCGAAGGTCACATCGGTTTGCAAACGTAAAAAAAGTGAACATTTCAAGGCGAGGTGGCTTTTGTTTTTTTGCCAGGAGCCCCTAATAGCGTCCTGGCTCCTAGTAGTAAGGCCAGGAGCCCTAGTAGCTTCTTCTTACTAGTAGCGATGCCAGGAGCCCCTCCATGTGCACAGCGTGCGCTCACCACTTGGATTCATGAAACATCTGCCAGGCTGCATGAGGATGCAAACCATCACATAAGTCCTCAGATCGTGGGCGGGCAACTCATCTGGAACAGTCGGATCTACTGTAATTGCCGCCCTCCACTAGCATCATCATCTGCTGTGGCGATGATGGACGACTTGTCACCAACATGATCAATCGTTTACCTGTTGCATCCTGCAAGGGTAGCAGCAATAAATGATGGCCACGGAGAGCCTGCAGTATAAACAAAGATTCTCTCACTGTTGAGCCGCTTCCAAAAGGTCTACGGGCTTGTACCGGTCTTAGGCGTGCTTCCCGGATACTGAGGGCCAGTCACGGCCAGGTCTGAGAAAACAGCTTCCACTGATCGTCGGACATCAGGTTTCAAATCACTTCGCTTGTGCTGGCGTAGAATCCACTGTACGTAGCAAACTTCCCGGATTTAAATTGGAGGTCAAAACTCCTCACACCACTGGGAACCTTATCCTGTCCCTTGTAGTTTGACTTGTGCACTAACTACCTCATGTCACACTCACTCACCCACGGACTCACTCCCTCACTCCCCCTCTCTCGCTCTTACTCTCACTCTTACTCTCACTCGGAGGCATCCGACAGTTGTCCTTGTCAAATGCTGAAACACGCATGTCCGTCAACAGTAGTTCCGATAACTTTGGAACGAAGCAACAAGCAAATCGGCTAAAATCATCTGAAAACGAGGATCAATGAGCAGGGCAGGTGCTCTGGCTCATCCTCATCGAACTCATACATGTCATCCTCTTCCTCCTCCTCCTCGTCCTCACCAGCTTTGGCGGAGGCCGCCATCTCCACAAAATGTTCTTGCCGGAGTGCCTCAAATATGCTGGTTTCGTTGAATGTCCAAGCTGGTTGGCGACCGCTGGATTGGCCAGCCCATTCTGGTTTTGCATTTGAGCATCTCAAGAAAAAACAAGCGGCTTAGCTTCAATTGTTAAAACTGATTCATCATCCCAGGGAAGGATAAAAGCATCATGCATCATCATCCAGCATTACTTTACCTGTCACTGATCTGTGAATTATACGTGGCACAAAGCCGCGACAAAGCCTGCATAAAATGAGTATTGCATAGTAGACCCGAAACTATGATTGCTCATGTATTTACTTATGACTTTTCAACATGTTTAGCACATACCAAAAACCAAGAAGAACTGGGATCATGACATAATATGTCCAAGTCACCTATGACATGACTTATCCAAGAACCACTTCGAACCACTTCCCAACTGCAATAGGTGACAAATCTCATTGAACCACACATGACCACACAATGCATGATTAATAAATTGACGTTCTTATCGTTCTTTGCTTCATGACTAATCACAGTCGGTTTCGTGCCCGAGTTCATGTTGACCCGAGGTGTCCTGCAAAATGCCAACTAGAACGCCAGCATATCCATTCACATCATGTTTCATCGATTGGCATGTGTTAATTCTCTTAATCCATGTTGTGGAACATGGATCCCTACAGAACAGCCATGAACTCACGCAGAACATATATCAGCGTTCGAAGGACTCTGAGTTGGGCGAGTTGGGCGAGCAAGCAACTGAGTTGGGCGAGCAAGTTGGCCGACACTTGTGCGGGATGCCCAACTTGTTCTCCAATGGAATCATCGCTATGAGTAACAAGTTGGGCATCGCCCAGAAACGGAGCTCGAGGACGCTACTAGGTAGTAGCTCCTGGCATTACTAGTAGCGAGAATGCTATTAGCTAACAAGGGTCAATCTCTCCAATTGAATCATACTTGAGTCGATGTGCTTTTACAAAACACAGGGCCTGTTCCCACCTGATGAATTCAACTCCGAAAATCGTAGAAACTGTTGCAATCTCTCTTCAATCACCTGTTTGTCGGCTCCCCCAACAAATCAACCGCCAAAGGAAGGCTTGTAGCTTGTAGGGTGGGGTGGAGCTATTGAGGGGATAAACACTTCATTCTCAATGAGTAATTAAATCTTCATACAAAACAGCAGGGTCACACAGGGAGTCTCCCCCAAAAAGAGTCTTACAGAAGACCATGGGTGTCCCTCGTGTCTCAACATGAGGCGCTTGCATGCGCAAGCGCACTCCCGCGCGTGTTCTGCGCGTCTCTCTCTCTCTCTCTCATGGTCTGTCCAAATGCTGGCACAAATGGGCGGCATCACCTTCAGCGGCTTTGTCCAAAACCTACCAAGGTCATCCAAAGGGAAGACAGCACACACCCATGGTAGGTCAAGGCACACCCAGCCGCTAGCTCGGTCGAGACCGGTGTGGGCAGTCTCACGAAGCCGATCGTTGGACAGCTCAGCTGTAGCGGGCCCAGCTTTTCAGAGTCAGGCTTTATCCGACGTGCTGGCCGTGGTGGTCTAAATGGTTCAAAGGATCTCCTGTTGCTTGTGACATGTGAGGAGCCTTTGCTATTGTACGAGTCATTGGGTTCTAATCAAAACATCCGCTCCCGTTTTGGACAGCGTTTGACAACGCCGTTCTTGTGACCCTGAACCAGAATCGGTGCTGCAGGCGAAAAAAGACTCGGGAGATGCTCAAGTCCTAGGGCGCCCTATACGGTTCAAAGACCTTTCGTACAGGAGATCTTCCAACAGTAGCATGAAGAAACACATTTTCTTGATGGCTCACCTCCACGATCAAAGACCAACGACACTAAAGGTGAAAAGCCCCCGCCTGAAATGTGAAAACCTTGCCGCGTCCCCGATCCACAAACGGTGCAGAAAACGCGGCATTTTCTCTTGCTAAGACGAAGTCAACCAAGCTCCTGTCACTGGTTTTGATCAAAGTTTGCTCCAAAGAGTCCAAGTGCTGCCCACAAATTCACCCCCGTTTCGCGGTCCTGAAAAGGCCTTGCACATTCCAAGGTGAAGAATTGGGGATCAAAAGGCTATCGGCCATAGTTAAAAGATGTCAAAGGTCTGGTAGGACAAGGGGATTCCTTCCAGTGCTTTCTGCAGGAACATTAGGTCTCAACTTGACCCTCCCCAATCTGCACCTGTTCGTTGAAGCTTTTCTGCCCTTTTGGGGGCCTCCACCAGCGACCAGCGTCGTGAAAAACATCGACGTAGGTTTTAAAGTCTGAGCTTATGTGTGTATATATATATATATATATCTGTGTGCATGTGTCTATATGTCATGTTATTTTAAAACGATCCAGCTGTTCAAAAGACACTCAAGCGTAGGTCCATATGTCCGTATATTCCAAATGTCTGACTTTCAGCATTCGTCTGACGTTGGTCCTACGCATTCTTCATGTGTGAAACGGTGCATGGGATTTTGATGGGGTCCTCGGGGGTTGACGGTGCTTCCGCGTGCTGCATTGGGACATGTGGTCAGCGGGCTGACCAACAAAGGAAACCTCTGGAAGACCATGTAACAAATCAGAGCTGGGGACTGTGGTAGTAGGCCTGTTCTCTCTTGTTTATCATATTACCTCCTTATGTCTTTGTACATTTGCAAGAATTGAATTTGATTGTCATTGGTCGCATATAGTTTTTTCAGATATGATACAATCTATGAAAGGATCATTATGATAATATAAAGATTGTGTTTTGATATGTTTGATATTGTGTACAATAATTTTGCCATACTCCCTAAACTTAGTTTAAGTGCAAGATGCTCACGCTAAGAAGTAAAAAAAGCAAACAAAGTGTTTGTCAATGTCTGAGGGGCAAATCCTGAGACATGGACTTGTTTCTTTTGTGACTATGACTATATCACGCAAACAGCAATTACAAAGGAATAGCCATGCTGAAGCCTTCTTACCAAACCACAAAAGCTAGTGGGGCGATTGTTTGTTTCAACTGTGTTGGTTCGACACAGAAACAGCAAAGGAAAAAGGAAGAGCCACGCTGAAGCCCTCTTAGCACAAGTAACAGCCATTACTAACCTTAAAACATTAATGAAATAGTAGTACAAAATAGCAGTGCAATCAGAATTGATATATAGGTACGTAACAAGAACAAAGTGTACTACCACAGTCCCCTGTTCTTTTCAATAATCGGGGACTGATTTGCTGCACACGCGCCTCGGCACATCATGTCAGGTTCCAGGCATGGCAACCTCTCTCTCCCTAGGGATCCAAGTACCTTCTCAGAAGGTTTGGGGCGGGTTTGGAGGGTCCAGGTGCCTTCTAAAATTCGGTACGACTGGATCCCTAGGGTCTGGTGGTTTCAGGGTAGATCGCACCTGATACGGTCGTCTTTTCCTTTCTAAAGTACGCAGCTTCCGTTCATGAACGGAGGGGTGCCATGTTGATCGCTCCGTTCGCAAGGTTAGATGTCAAAAGTCTTTGTTGGATGAACTGTCATTCATTGGGTCTATCCGAGTCTATTCTATGACCAGTAAGGGTGAATGATGATGGTACAGTCAAGGCCTTGTTCAATAATATATAGTGATCATCTTTACTGACTGTTGCAGGGAATAGGACAGACCAAGTCACCAAGTCTAACTAAGACATTCATGTATGACATGGGTTCAGTTCGCTCCCCGATAATCTTCTTGCACACCCATAGTGACGTAAGGAAAATCGAAAATTGATTCAACCTCCACCATGGCCGTGTAGTAGCACCATCGTCAGCCAACCAACTCTCAAAAACCAACCCTGCTGCACCTGGCTTCCTGCAGTCCAACCTGGAACAGCTTGGGCACAGGAGCGCGCCAATAGGTCAAAGACCGGCCTCAAGCCCTCAACTGGTGCCAAAGCAAAAGAATCTGTCATCCCTATGGGTCCACAAACCGAACCTGAGGTACGGTGAGCAGGGAGACGATTGATGGGGAGGTTCCGTGCCGAACCTGAGGTTCGGTATGTGGTCCATGGGGAATGTTCACCTCTACCACCTTGGCCTGGGGCAACGGGATGCTTCGTAGCGGGAAGTGGCGGCAAACATCCCACAGCAATGGTTCGTAGCTCGTTGGAAAGGATGGCCCATGATGCAAGTGATGGCAGCCACACTAGCTAGGAATTCGCACTTTCCACAAGTCTCACAAAAATCCTTAGGACGGTTGGTTGGCCCCTCACTCATGTGAGTCAGCAAGGTTATCGCTTGCTTTTGCAGGTTAAAGCCCAATTCCTGAGGTTCACGACTGCTGTTTACTAAATTAGTCGTGGCACGTTTTGGCCAGTTCTCACCAGCGCCAGTTCTCGGCGCCCGATCGGATGCCGGTTTGGTACAGCTGAAGGTTGGACAAGGCCGGTTGACCCAAAGACTTCCCCGAGGAGGCTGTCACCGGTGTCACCTCCGCCCCCTTCGACGGTTCGCAACCCACTCCGTGGAACGTGCCGCGTGCGAGCGCGTGAGGCTCTCGTCGACTGGGCGACTGTAGGCGACGGTAGCCATACGAGAGACGACGTCATACATCGATTTAAGGGGCCCATTTCCGCCAGCAGCTTCTCGCAACTTGCTGGGATCGGTGGGAAAGAACCATCCATCGAAAGCAGCGGCTTTTTCGGATCGAAAAGCAGTCCTGGCACTCCCTGAAATAATCCATGGAAGTGGAACATGGATGCTTGCATGACCATTCACTTTCCACTACCTGGTTTAACCACTTCCAATATTGTTTCAGTGTAGCAACCCATCTAAAGCACCAACTCATTTGCCCAGCCCATCTCACATGCCGCTTCAATCTCCCTGCCTGCCGCACTGCACAAGCCGCGGAGCTCGGTGCATTTTGCACCACGCTGTTCGTGACACTTCGTGCCTGCGCCTGACGCTGTTGCTGCGCCTTGTGGTCCTTTTGCACCTGAGTTCCGGAGTTTCAGTCGTTGGCCAAAACGTGAGCCGACGGTCGGGTGGTCGGGTCGGGTGCGTTGCGCCGGACGCGGAAGCAGGCAAACTGCTCAGTTTCAGCATCTGCGTCGGGTAAGGACCATAAGGACTTGCAAACGATGCGGGTGAAAGTGCATTCTGCACCTCACTTAGTCCGGATGACAAGTCAAGGATGAAAACAGGACGACAATCCCAAATCACTCCCATGAAAAAAACTGGGTTTTGACATGCTGAAATTACACTTCAAGCGGTTCCAACTTTGGATCCTGGTCCAATCGTTGTTCCAAGTGGGAAGAAGAACGACCAAAATCGGAACCCTGCTGAACATGACCTCTTTGTGAACATGATGCCGGGCTTCAGTGCAAGCTGCCTTTAACATGATGACATTCGCGGCTGGCGCCCGTCGGTAGTCGGGGGCGGTGGCATCGGAGAAGGGCTGTGTCGGCATGTTGGCCCCAAAAAATGCTCTAATTGAAGACTTTACCAGGACCTTCCAACAGGTCACTACCTGCGACTTGAGAAAGTCTACAAAAGCCTCCATGTCGGAGACCTGTTGGTTTCGGTGCTGGTAGATGTCCTCTATATCGACCACATTGACCACTCGGCAGGACGCCGCGTCAAAAGCTCCGAACCCCCCCGCAACAAGCGCCACGGTTCTTCGCTGGGCAGCCACGTCAAAAAAGGCGTAGCGCAAGAAGCCTGGGGTGAGAAGTGATCATGCCAGGAGCCGCAAAGAAGGTGGTGTGTAGTCTGAGTGGATGTTCTGGGCACCTACTAACCTCCGAGTTCGGCACCGCGAGATGGAACGACGTAACTACGTACGCTGGTTGCGCATTCCGTGATTTCCACCGTCGGATTCACCTCCCAAACCCACCCGACCGGCCCGAACAAAGAGCGACTCAGCAGGTCGCTCCGGATCCATTCGAGGTCTGAAGCGGCTGTTTTGGGGCCGACCCTGGGACGGAGGGCCTGACTGATCCCCAAGCACTCCACGCATGGCATATTTACACAACATTGACCATTGAAGCCACCCCAAGGTATGCAAATATGCCAGTCCCATGGAGTGTCTATAGGTGGGAAGGGACATCATATTGAAATCACTCACCAGCTGGTCATGGCAAGAGGCACTCGAAGAACCTCTGGAACTCTTGCTCTGAAAGCACGCCGTCCTGGTGCGGGCTTTGGAGCAGTTCACGCTGTCACGATCTCAGTAGCTACACCGCTGCTCCGCTGCGAGTCCCACCCGGAAGGGACCCAGATGGAACCGCCATGGGGCCCCATGGGGCGGCCTTTGGAAGACGATGTTCAAACCAAGCGAGCCTGGTTTGTAATGAGTCCCACCTTCGTACATGCACGAGCCAAAACAAAGGTCGTGACAGTGTCGACCCAAAGGTGTGAGAAAGCCATTCTCGGCACGAGTGAATTGGCAATTGCTACTGGGGTGGGGCTTGGCAACAGCTCCCATCAAGCTGCTCCTTTTCAGCCCTCCCAGCTTCAGTGTCCTTGGCTTGGCTATAGAATCTTCGTGTCTGAGTGGTGTTTAATATTGGGAAACCAATCTCAATCGCCCTGGCAACAAGCTCCAGATTTGCCAACCATC